ATATATATTACGATCAAACTATAGTACTGAATGCTTGACAAATAATTATTTAAATCAAATGATCAATAGTGAACGCACTCGGAGTGAATTTTGGAACACGGAGCGAAATATGCATATTAAGACTAAATAATTTCTAACTTTCTACCATATTATGCGTTTATATTTCAATATAATATGATTAATTACTGAAGAATATATAAACTCCGAACAAACTTCACTACTGAATGCTTGACAAACAATATTTGAATCAAAAGATCAATAGTGAACGCGCTCGGAGCGAATTTTGGAACACAATATAAATGTTAAGACTAAAAAATTTCTTATAAGCTTATGTTTTAATATAATATAATTAATTACTGAAGAATATATTAACTCCAATCAAACTATAGTATTAATTGTATGACAAACTATTTAAATCAAATGATCAACAATGTACGCGCTCGGAGCAAATTTTGGAACACTTCATAGAATATTTACAGAGGAAGTATATTACTTGGTAGAGATCAAAATGTATTTAACAAAGTGTGATTGAATTTGATATTGCTCTCAGAAGAACCATCCTATAGTCAAATTGAAAAAAAAATTTATGCATTTTGAATCGTTTGTTTATATTTTTTACATAAAATTAAGAGAGCCGCACTGAGTTGTCAATAACACCTTGTTTAATACACCCATGATACAAATATTTAAAGGTAAAAGCGCTTGCTCAATTCGTCGGCCATCATTTATTTTTTGAAGTTTGTCTATTTTATAAAATTTAAATTTTGAGAGCAACTCAAATGCCAAATAAAAGTAAAACAAAAAACAAATAGATGAAAATATTGAAATTTTCATTTATTTGAGACTGAAAATGAGAATGTATTTGTGAGATTGGAAATTCGAAAACATTTTTGTAATGTTAGCAAACTTCAAAAATGTTCAGGCTGCTTCTCAGCGGTTTTACCTTCAGATTTTTGTATCATGGATACACCTCGAGATATCACGAACAAGTTTTCCTTTGTTTAGTTTTACTTAAAGTCCTTAAATATGTATCTTGATTTCTGTAGAATACGTATTCATTTTTTTAACCTTTTTAAAAAAAGGGAGGACAGTCGGATCTACGTAACCAGAACGACCTGAATGAGCATTAAAGTCGGTTGTATTTTTTGCTCAAAATTACTTGTTATTATTCAGATACAGTTTCGCTACTATTTAGAGATTTCTCAACATACCTGTTCACATTACTGTTATTTATTATTTTTCTTATTAGTCGTTTATATGTTTAGGACTTACTGTGGGTGCTTTAAGATTCATTTTGTAAATATGTATGTACATATAAAAAACAATTGCGATATTTTATTTTAAATTATGAATTTTATTCGTGCAATTTTTTATGTTAATAGTTTTGAGATTTTTTGGTTCTGTTGTATTCTTTTATTGCATATCGAGGGCTTATATTCAATACCCTCTATCTACAATTTTGATGAAAATGAGTTTTTGATGGTAACGTGAGCTCTTATTTATCCTTCAGCCATGACAATAATGCCAAACTTAAAATTTTGCTTTTATGGTATTATATTCTCATTTTGAAAAATCCACTATCTGCAATAACATTTTGTTACAAAAGCAAAATCCTCTATCTACACAATTTTGCTGGAAAATCGTTTTCATTACCATTTATTTGTGGCAGGGTAAGTTACATGTGCCGATGCATGTATGTATATGTTCCGGTAAAATCCGATCTTAGGTCAAACTAGTTTTGCCCAGGCTAAACTTGTTCTACCTAATGCGATGTCCAACCGAAACCAAATCTTGTGGACTGCGTAGCTTCAGTTGGACTGATGATGCGAGTTACAAAAATAGTTTATTCTAAGATCGGGTTTGGCCGGTAGCTTACAGGTATATACATGTCCGCTCATTTACTACAATAATGTCATAACTCAAAAAATCAAAACTCGAGAAAGACGGCTTTAAAGTTTTGAATTTACATATACGCCGATACTAAAAATGAATAGATATTTTATTCTAGTGAGATTCTGGTAAAGGCCTGTATGCAGCTCTCAAGAAAAGCAAAAACTCCATATAAAATGACGTACAAGAAATGGCTAAAAAATTTTCTTGAGTCAAATTTCCTTAAGGCAGTACGCAGTTCTTAAGATATTTACTACGCTTTCTACTACGGTTTTCTAAAGTTTTTTGTGAAGAAAGAGCATAAGGCAACCCAGTTTTGCAACAGAAATATATGCCCGTTCCATTATTTCTTGAGGAAAGAGTGAGGCAACAGGCAGTGAAGTATCAAAAAATGTCAAAATTCCTTGGACACACACGCGAAATAATGGCAATTTTCTTGAGAGCTGCATACAGGGCTTAATCGATACAGCTATGATATTTTTACACGAAATAGAAGAAGACGTAGCGATAATTTCTGCATACTCAACTCAAAATTTGTATTTTTTGGATTATGACACTACTAAAGTAAATGAGCGATGTGTATATGTTTATTTGCCTCCACTTGGTCCGAAGATTCCCACAATTCTCTCTTACTCATATCTATTTAAGAGTTTGACCAACCATCTCTTCGATGACAGGCAAAAGCCCTGGTGGAGACAAAATCCCGTACCCCGTTCTAAAAAATCATCCGTATCCCATCAAACATAGAGTCATTAAACTCCATAACTACATTTTATTTCAAGGGTTATATCATCAAGAGTGGGAAACTGCTGTTATTATTCCTATTGCCAAACTAAATACGCTAATGATATCAATTGGTCCAAATCTTCAGGAGCTCAGATTTAAGCTGAAAAAGTAATTTTTTCACATATGCAGAAAATACAAATAAATACATACATCCAACCCTCTCCTTGTCTAACACCCCTCCCCTATACTGATACATTGAAAATATTTGGAATGATTTTTTACAATAAACCTACTTTTAAGCAGAACTGTCATTATGTAAAAGTTGACTTTGGGCTCGTAATTTATGGACACTGCGCAAAAAAAACATCTTAAATTGCTAGAAACACCTTACTATGTAGCAGAGGAGAAAAAGCATCCGTGCATTTCCCACCTCGCCAATAAAAGCTATCTCTCACGTCGAATCCTGCTTTCAACAAAAAAACTGATGTAGCAAGCAATCACCTTTATTTCGTATATTAAGGTACATCAAAGATTTCGACATCATCCGATGCTTACTAAAGTAAAAACTCTACCGCAAGGGCATTTGCCCAGTTTGATACTCATAAATTACCTGGGAGCTTATTTTCACAGACGGTTCCAGATATGGTGGTAACAAAAGGGCTGGGTGTTACAATAGTCTTCAGTGCTTTTCCCCCGTACTGCTCGGCATTTACAGCCGAATCAGCTGTACATTTCGCCTCTATAAACGAAGGAAATTTCCTCATCTGAACGGACAGTAAACCAGCCAGCGAAGCCTCTTTTAACAGTGCTAATGATTCTCATATAATTTCAAAATCACGTAAAATACTCTTTTGACACAAAAACACATTTAAAATTATGTGGTTACCTGGGCACATCGGAATAGAAGGGAACGAATTTTCACACCTATGATTTCTGCATTAAAATCTTAGTTTAACATAGTATTTACGTGTAAAGAACTGACATTTTCATTATTCTGCAAAACCCTCTATCAGCAAATTTTTCTATATAAATAGTTATAATTCGAATTGCAATAACCTCTATCTGATCTTTAAACTAAAATTAAATGAATTAAAAGTAAAAAACTAGTTTTAGTATATTGCGTGAATATTTAAGACATGCGTGTGTACTTAAAATTATTAACAGTTTTAAAAACAGCTGCCAAAACAGTTTTTTTGCTCTCCTGAAAAATTGAGTTTTTGCAGATAGAGGGTATTGAATATAAGCCCTCGATATATTTAACTCTTTTACTTTAAGTTATAATGTTGAAGATAAGCCTTCTGCCTTTTTCAAGCACTTTAGCTAGGTACGAGAAATTTAGCATATGCACGTAAGAGCATAGGGTAGGTATAGGGCTGTGCTGCCGCGATTCTCCAACATCTTGTCAAAGGAGAAAATATATTGGTTGGCCAGTGGCTGAAATGGTATTACCGATGGCAACTAGCAACTGAAAGCTGGTAACTGAGTTGCTATATTGGCACGAACTAATCAAGGCTGTCATAGAATCCATCGTAGTCCGATTTTTCATAAAATCTACAAAAAAGCGATCACTGAATCTGAACTGCTATGAACATGTGTATTCAAAGCAAGCACTGCGTTCGTAGCTACTCGAATTTAATTGCATTTTCGTAGATTTCACGGAAAATCGGACTACGGTGGATTCTATGACAGCCTTGATTAGTTCGTGCCAATATAGCAACTCAGTTACCAGCTTTCAGTTGCTAGTTGCCATCGGTAATACCATTTCAGCCACTGGCCAACCCACTGAAGTTCGGTTGTCCTCCGTAATCGACCCATAAAATCGGAATCGAATATGCATGCACGTTCTGCAGAACGATAAATATTTTGTAAATGTGTGCTCTGTCCGCTAACGAATTCCAGCCATGTGTGAAATATCGTATGTGAAGCCTCTGTCTGTTTTCGACCATCGTCTTCTTCGAGTAAGTTCATCGATTCCAAAAACTTTACAACCTCTATGTGCCAGCATCCCTTAGTATTTTTGCCAATGACATGGCACTATTGCACTGTTAATAACCAAGTTTAGCCGCAGTTCCATTCACACGTGATATAATAGCTATTGTCGGCATGTGGGAATCCCCAGGAGATGGCGTTTGTTCAGCTATCGAAATCATTACACTGACGGCGGTGGGCAGTACTGCTGGAACGTATTTACCACAGCGGTGGTTGTGGCGTTTTGTTCTGCAACAATAGCCTGCAATGATGACATGTCATATAATGTCGATGAACAATGATATAAAATTGAAAATGACTAACCTTATTCCCGGCCGATTGGAAGACCACCCTGGTCACGACCAGAAAGCATTTACCAAGAGGAAAAACCGCAGGGATTGCAGTAGTTCTTGCAATCACCGTTGATGATGCTGTGCTTGTAATTAATAGTCTGAAAAGGCAGAAAATTGCATTAATCAAATGTTAAACACATCAAATAAATAAATTTCAATAATTTGCTTACCATTTCACAAACCGAATTACCAAGAAATAGAACTTCACCGCTTTGCGATACCGAAATAATAACCAACAGGGGTGCATTTTCTTGGTAAACAACAGAAGCGCTCAGAGCAATCTGATCCACAATATTATTTTCTGAAAAATAAGACTTGAAAAGAGTTTTTAAACATGATTATCACATTATCTAATTAGCGCACACTATCGAGTTTATTTCTAGTAGAATATAATTGTATTATCTCAGACTTTTTTTCAATGTTTTCTAATATTCGTTCTTTTGGAATGCAAAAGCAACCATGCGCTCAATTTCTTGTGGGGAAATTTGGACCCCATAAAGGACTTTCACCACGAAACAGCTACAAAAACAAAAACCTTTTCTACTGTATACTGTGTCACACACGCGTACATACACATCGACATCAGCGCCTGAATACCTACGTACATATGTACATACATACATATTCGGCCAGTTTTTCTCATTTTCACACTTTACGTGGACTTCGTTCCGAAGACATGTAAATACATGTACGATTATATGTACATACGTACGTACTTTGATATATATGAGCAAACTGTTAATCGAAATCAATATTAGCGAGCTTTTCTTGTTGCTGGGTTGTTATACTTGTTGGAAATAGTAGCTTTGATATACGCACGTACCTACATACAGATAATTGTTTTTTTGTGCTTAGATACTTTCCAACCTACTTGTACATATGTAAATACGATCGCAAGGCGCAGATATACTGTGAAATCCAGTAGTAAATTCGTAAAGTTCGGTCTCACATACAATTTTTTACTTTTGTGAGTGTTTTCCTTCGTGGGTGGCGAGTTTCTTCCCTTCTGTTACCAATAATCTTTATTAAAAAAAAAAATATCTAAGAAAATGTCGGTTAACTGGTTTATTCGGTGCTCTGACGAAATTGTCGAATTCAATGCCAATTTTGATGAGGCATTAATGGGCGCCCAGCCGAATAGTTCGTTAACCATATTGAAAGGTGAGCTGGTTGAACTGAGGGAAGAGACTAAAAAGGCATACGAAAAATGTCTACAGTCTTTGAAAGAAGATGCAGATATAGAAGGTGTTAGGTCCAACTACGCTACCACATTTCGAGATTACCTTAGTTGTTCGTCCCGTATAGACGAAAATATAGAAAAGTTTAACCGTAATAAGGAAGATGTTTCTCGAACCATTGCTCAAGCAGCTGGTTTTTCTGATAGCTTACATTTACCACCATGCGATACCAATATTTTCGATGGTGATTATGCCTCGTGGCCATCGTTTCGAGATCTTTTTACCGCGATATACATTAAAAACAGTCGTTTGAGCGGCGTACAAAAGCTTAACCACTTGCTTCAGAAAACAAGCGGTGAAGCTCGGGAAATTGTTAGCAATTCCCAACTTACAAATCAAGGATTCGAAACGGCTTGGTCTAACTTAAAAGCGACTTATGAAAACAAACGGGTTTTAATGAATAGCCAGTTAAAGAAGTTGTTTTCACTTCCGGTCATTCGGACCGAAAGTGCGTCAGCTTTGAAGGATCTTCAACGAAGCATTAACGCATGCCTCTCACCGCTGGAGACCTACAACAAAGACGTCACCAACTGGGATCCAGTTCTCATATTCTTGTGCTCAAACCGGCTTCCAGAGACAACCCTCAGCATGTGGGAAAACACTTTGCTGGATAAATCAGCTTTACCAGAATGGAAGCAAATGAATGCCTTCCTTATACAACGTTTCAGGACATTGGAGTCGATTGTGGATGTGAAATATTCAACTGCGATGACATCAACCCACCAACAGCAACGAACATTTACGCATCCCCATAACCCGGTGGGACAAAAGAAACTGTCGCTTGCCACCAACGTCATTTCATCATACTGTGTCATGTGTCCAAAACAACAACACGTCCTACGTTTATGTAAAAAGTTTGTATCCCTCTCCGTCAGTGATAGGTTCGCGTTGATCAAAAAGCTCAACTGCTGTCTGAATTGCCTTTCTAAGGGCCATTCTGTCAAAGAATGTAAGAGTAAATTTTTGTGTACAACGTGCAAGAGCAGGCATCACTCTCTACTTCATAGAGTTGCTCCCAACACTCAACACAAAGGTGCCTGAAACCATGGAACTGCCTCACAGGCATTCTATGTAAACATACAGTCCACTTCTCGTGGTAAAACTTCGTCATCAAATCGAGAAAATTCGGCTTCGTCGAGTTTGTCTTCAGCTTTACTTGGCACCGCCATGGTGCATATTTGCCATTTAGGCTCGACGTACTTCGCTCGCGCCTTGATTGACTCGGCTTCAGAGGCGTCGTTTATATCAGAACGACTTCGAAAACTTTTGAAGCTTCCATGTTCGAAAGCAAATGCAGTCATCTCAGGGCTTAATCAAACAGTTTGCAATAGTTCGTCGAAAATTTGTTCATTTATCTTGGGCTCTCCAAGAGACCCAAATCTTTTCATTAAGGCGAACGCATTTGTATTACCATACATTATGGGTAACTTACCTTCAACTTCTATAGACAGTTCAATATTAGATGAACTGCCAAAAGTACCTTTCGCAGATTCTGAATTTATACAGATGTTTTGATCGGGGGAGATTTATACCTCAGAGTTATGTTGGAAGGGGTTAAACGTAGTGTATGCAATAATTTTCTGTCCCAAGAGACCGTGTTCGGGTGGATAGTCACTGGGGCATCATCTACTGCACACGTCTCTTGTTTTGCTACCAAAATCTCTTTGGGAGAGGGCAATCCATTAGATTGCCAGCTACGTAAATTCTAGGAGTTAGAAGAAATTCCAAAGAGGAATATTCCATCAGCAGAGGACTCGTTTTGTGAAGAACTCTTTTTGAAAACGACAGCTAGGAATTCTGAAGGAAGGTACGTGGTATCTTTACCCTTTAAAAACTTATACCCTACGGACATACAGCGTCTAGCAATTCCTCCAACGGAGTTAGTCTTAATGACATCTTACATCCAGGTCCTGCTCTTCAAGCCGATTTGACGCATTTGCTCATACGTTGGCGCACGTACAAGTTTGCTTTTAACAGTGATATCCAAAAAATGTATCGCCAAATATTAGTAAACCCGTCCCATAGGCCCTTTCAAAGAATTTTATTTAGAAACTGCCCAAATGCAGAGATAAGGGATTTTCAGCTTAACACTGTAACATTTGGAATTAATTGCGCGCCATACTTGGCGATTAGAATACTACATCAACTAGCTCAAGAATCACAGGTTTCATATCGATTGGCGGCTCAAATTTTAAAAAGTTCAATGTATGTAGATGATGTGCTAGCCGTATTTCACTAGATTTCAATAGCCTTGCAGGCACGCAACGAACTGATTCAAGTGCTATATAGTGCGGGATTTTCGCTGAGAAAGTGGTCCTCTAATACAAAAGAACTTATTGCTGATCTTCCTGATGACCATTTGTTAGGCAAAGAATTTCTTGATCTGGATGAGACTAGCACAACGAAAGCTTTAGGTATACGGTGGAACGCCAAGTTGGATCACTTCTTTTTTAATGTTCTGGATATAGTCCTGAAATCAAGCTATAACAAACGGGAGGTTTTGTCAATAATCGCAAAACTTTTTGACCCACCTGGCTGGCTAGCACCTATCGTGGTAATAGCTAAAATACTTATGCAACAGATCTGGTTAGACGGTACTACCTGGGATCAACCAATCAGTTCACAAACACTTTCCAAATGGAAATTTTTTGTTGAAAATTACGGTCACATACAGAATATCAAAGTTCCGCGTTGGATGAATTGTTCAAATGAAACTCTGATACAAATTCATGCCTTTTGCGATGCGTCGGAAAAGGCATACGCGGGTGTGATATATTTGCGGGTAGAAAACAAGAAACTAGTTACATCACACCTGCTACTAGCAAAAACAAAAGTAGCTCCGATTAAAAAGATTTCGATACCTCGTTTGGAGTTATGCGGTGCAGTTTTGCTTGTAGATATGTTGAACTGTTTACGAAATGAGCTACCATTTAAGGTCGAAAATACCTTCTGTTGGACAGACTCAACCATTGTCCTCTTGTGGCTGAAGAAGCAACCTGGACAACAACCCTTGGACGACCTTTGTTGCTAATCGAGTTGCAAAGGTTCAGGAAACCGTTGATTTTCGATATTGGAATCATGTCGAATCCAAAGACAATCCAGCAGATCTGGATAGCAGCGGGGTATATCCACAGGATTTGAAATCGAATGAGTTATGGTGGTACGGTCCGTCTTGGCTTACCAAAGAAGAAGCGAATTGGCCATCATTGGATCAGGAAATCGAAGACACTACAGTGGAAGCAAAATGATAAACGCACATAGTACACTTGTATCGAACTTTGTTGAACCTTTGAAAAGATTTTCATCTCTTCCCCGTGCGTTACGCATTTTATTTTACGTTTTCAGGTTCTACAACATGACTAACAAGCACACTCGAAGATTCCATTCTTATACATCTTTGGCCATTTCAGGAGAGGAGATGTCCAAGATTCGTACTCGTCTTATTGTCTTGACTCAATTGAGGTATTTCGCTAGCGAATACAAGAATCTTTCGTCAAAGGTCCCGATTGATTCAAGGAGCAAGATTTTAACGTTGAACCCTTTTCTTGACAGCAAAAGCGTTATGCGAGACAATGGTCGCCTAGCTAGTTCCGCAATTCTTTCTTACAACGAGAAATATCCATTACTTCTTCCGTATAGTTGCGAATTTTCCAAATTGCTAGTTACTTTTCTCCACCGGCCGAGCTTGTAAAGTAACTAAAGGATACGTATGCGTTTTTGTATGCTTTGTTACAAAAGCAATTCATCTGGAGGCCACAAGCGATCTGTCATCCGAAACTTTCCTGGGTGCATTCTCTCGATTTGTCTCTAGGCGAAGTTGCCCAAAAAACATTTTTTCTGATAACGGGACGAACTTCCTGGGTGCTTCAACCAGTCTAAAAAAAAAATTCCTCCTCTCATCGAAAGAGTCCGTGTGTAACCTGTACAATCAGCAGGAAGTATCTTGGAGCTTTATTCCTGCTGGCGCGCCACACATAGGTGGATTATGGGAGGCCGGAGTTAAGAGCTTTAAGTTCCATTTTAGAATGGCCGCCTCGTCCTATAAATATACGTTTGAAGAGTTTCAAACATTACTCTGCCGCATCTAAGCTTGCCTTAATTCAAGGCCGATCTCTCCTATCTCGAATGACTCTGCAGATTGCGCAGCGCTCACACCTGGGCATTTCCTTATTGGTGCACCGCTTCTTTCGCCTATTGAGCCTTCCATCGAAACAAATCCAATCTCGTTGATTAATAGGT